CTGTTGCTTGTGCACCTTTTTCTTCCACACTTTTCCCTTCCATATAGCGTTCTACTAATGTGCTAATACAGCACTTTGGGAACATCCAACTTTGCAATTACCTTTTGAGGCTTTCCCCCCTTATGGAGGATGATGGTTTTCTGCACAACTGTCAGGTCAGCAGTTATCCCATGATTGTGCTTCCTATTGAACCAGACTGAGACCATTTAAAGCAGTGGCCCCCAACCTTTTTTGTGCCACGGCCCGGTACCGGCATCACAAAATGATCCGCGGCCCGGTACCGGCATCAGCACGCATGGCAAGGTGAGCCGAGCGACCGGCCAGCCAGCCGTCCCCCGCTTCTCCCTGCCACCTTCAACTCCTCCTTTGTACCTTTGTCGATCGGCTTCGGGACGGTCGCTCGGCTCGCCTTGCCTTGGGTGCTGAAAGAATCCTCGTGCCTTAGTTTTGTTCAAAGCCGCCCCCGCCTTCGATGAAACTAAGGCGCGAGGATTCCTTCAGGACCCAAACACCGCTTTCCAACCGGAAAAGCTCACTGGAAGCACTTTCTCATCAAAACAAGATGGCGGTGCCCAGCAAACCGGCGGCCCGGTAGAAAATGTTCCACGGACCGGTACCGGTCCGGGGCCCAGTGGTTTGGGACCCCTGATTTAAAGGCTCAGGAACCCTTTGCAGGTGTTATGGCTTCATTAGCTGATTAGAGTGGGACACTTTGAGCCTAGAATATTGAACCTTTTCACAATATTCTAATTTTCTGAGATTGTGGATTTGGGATTTTCATGAGCTGTAAGCCATAATCATCTCAATTATGACACATCATGGCTTGAACTATCTTGCTTTGCATGTAATGAGTCTATGTCATATATTAAGTTCACCTTTTAAGTTGCATTACTGAAATAAATGAACTTTTGCACGATATTCTAATTTTCTGAGTTTCACTTGTAGTTCTAATGTTAGTATAACTACCTCAAATATGTTTATTCATAAAATCCTTGACCCATGATTGCAACCATAACAAAACTTTCTATTGCTAAGCAGACAGTTATTAAATAAAATTTTGCCTGGTTTTACAACTTTTTTTTGCCAACTTCATTTGTTAATTAGTAACATGGTTGTTAAATAAATCTTGCTTCCCCATTGACCTTGGCTGTCAGAAAGTTGCAAAAGATGATTACATGAACCCAGGATATTACAACCATCGTAAATAGATGCCAGTTGCCAAGCATCCGAATTTTGATCATGTAACCATGGGGATGTTGCAGTGGTTGTAAGTGTGAAAAATGGTCATAAGTTACTTTTCAGTGTTGTTGTAACTTTGAATGGTCACTAAATGGATGGATGTAAGTCAATTACCTGTATTATCATGATTTCTGTAAACCTCTATAAATATACAGTATGCTTTCTTTTAATTATTCTACATTTTTAGAGATCTAAAAAAATCACATTGCACATCCTATGACTTGTATAAAGCTATACTGACTTCCCAAATTTTGTTCATTATCACATTTGTACTCTGTCAGAATTCTGCCAGATTTCTTCTCAGTATCATTTACTGAACTAATCACCTTATAAGTTTTGCACTCACATATTTCTCTTTGTATTGCAGAACAAATAATGGTATTGTTCCAATAATCAGGAACAGATACCACATTTCTTATTTAACACATTAAGTGAATTGCATTGCTATTTCTTAAACTAATGAACATGTGAATGTTTTAACATTTGGTCACCTATACCAACTATATTGAAGTTTTACTACTTTTCAGTATTCTTACATATTTATGGCTTCCTTTTCACATTTTTTTAAAGAGATGCCGGTAGTTACAGCATTACTTTCAGTTCTGCTCTTCAATATAATCTGTGTCATCTCCATTCAAATATTTCAAATATTTCTTCCAACATTCTCCCCTTTAGTTATTTATCAATATTTTCATCATTTTTTTATTCCTTTTACCCTACTGGAAACTTACCCGCTGTACACATTTCCAATGCAGTTTTATATCTTAATTGCTCTGTATTTTCTGGGCCTCTTTTTTGACTTGTTAAATTATTATTATGCATTATTCTTATAAACTTAGATAATGCCAATTCATACTTTCTAGAATGCATTTTGATTATTTCATAACTAACCCTACACCATCACCTCTCTGCATGCATTTATCTACTGCACTTCACAAGATCAGACAGTTTATTACTTTTTTTGTTTTTAGTTTTGCAAATTCATGGGCTATTTTTCTTTCATTCTTTTCAGATGATAATTTATACTTTTATCATTTATTTCTCTGACATTCCAAATTACAATCTTCTATACATTGTAACTAGATAGTTTCATAGATTTTGACCTCTGCTACCCAGTGCTTTGGTCAGTGAAAGTTTTGTGTTAATTCTTTTTAGTAAACTACAAAAGACACAGACTAGAGTATCAGCCATCTTTATATCAACACTAGAGGATCCCAACATGTGGGCTACAACCCACACCGGGCTGTGGCCATTTGCAACTGGGCCACGGGAGTGGGGGACAGCACGCAAGCATACATGCAGCCCAACTTGTGTGAGCGGCAGGCTCCAGTGCTCACAGCCTTATTCACGTGAGCAGCAAACACTGGCACTCGCAGCCCCACTCACATGAGCGGTGTGTGTGTGTGCATGTGCATCTGTCCCTCACACAAAATCACCCCCTCTTCACCCCCTCTTACCCCCATGTTGGGCCATCAACTGGAAATGTTAGAGAACTGATTTATACTACATGCGATCTTCTTCACTAATAATAAGAATAATACCAGGCAATTTGGACACATTTTGTCCAATATGCCACAAGTACAACCAAAGACTAATTTTACTCCAAGCATTTTCATGGTACTCCATGCAAGCTAGCATTCTGTAATTTAGAAAACACCTTGCCTGTATTCCACCAATTAAGAAGTATATCCAATATACTGATATGTGCTGAGGTTGCAGGTCAAATTAAAACATCTTAATATGTAAAACAAGCCACATTAAACAAAAGTGAAATATACTTTTAGCAATCAGATATTGTAAACAATTGGCACAATATATAATTATTTTGGGGAAAAATTATTTCTTTGCCTTTCATTTTACAAAAGAAAAACAGTCTTTCAATAATAACTAAACATATTTTCTTATGGAAAGTTCCATATATTTAGCATTCAGTTAAACAGAGAAAACCAGAGATCTTTAATTTTTCTGCATGTCTTTAAACAGAAAAATTTCTGTGGTCCGGAAGATACAGATGTAGCTATAGATATTCCTTATGGAGTAGAAAAGTTTAAACTGCATGCCAGAAGATAATGGATTAAATGAAGTGTGTCAAACTCATGTCATCACGGCGGCGTCACGTAATGTATCGGGCATGGGAGTGGCCAGCGTGTGACATTTCCAGCCAGTGGGCTGGGAGTTTGACAGACCTAAGTTAAAACATAACCTCTTTAAAAATTATGAAGAATGCAAAATTTTTTGATCTGCTACACTGAAAGCCCCTGAAGTATATTAAAAACTGAGGTTGCTATAAAATCTAGTGTTTTGACACTAAAAATAAATAGCTACATTTTTTTTCTTTGAAAAAAAAAATCAGTTTATCTCCTTATGCCACATATTCTTCTGCAATATCTAAGGAGATCAAATAGATTTTTAGGAATAATATTTTTTCTCCCAACTATTTTTAAGTAACTATTATTGGTTCTCTCTTTTTATTACTAATAGTTTTACGTCTGAGTACACAGAGATTACCAAGGTCTCCTGTGACACTTTGCAGCCAACTTTCTTCTAAGATACAATTCTGGTATGATGCAATATGGTTGCATCAACTTGTATTGCAGTGAATCCTGTTTTGCTTTTAAAAAGAATGTACAGCATTTTCATTGTAACTTTTTAAAAATACATGTGAGTTGTTAGATTTATATGCTTGCCATTTCTGGGCAGAACATTAGCCTACATAAATTAAAGTAATGAATAAATAAATATAACGGTAGTAACAGTCGTGATAACGACTGTTACTATTTTAGAATTTTCCTTTGCAAACTAAATCATGTTCTTTGCTTAGTAAATCATATGCAAGCCTGTTACATTTTTAATGGAACACAATTTGTGCTAAGTTATTCTGTTAAGATGTTTTATTTTCTTGAAAGCATGCTATAATTACGTTATATACACTTTTTGGAGCAAAGTATTATAATAAAAACCTGTTTCCTGCTACTTACATTATAGCTATTTTACTTATTAACTTAAATATTCCAGCGTAGCTTTCAAATATCAGAAAGGAGATTTTGTTTGCCTCCTAGCTTTCAAATTAAAAAGATGACACTCTTAGAAAAAGTTGAGGAAGAAGTGAAAAATAGGTATAACTATCACTTCTTAAAGCAACTGTTGAAGACAGTTTGGTGCGAAGACGGTTAGTGAATGTGCCAGCAGTTTATCTTTCAGAATTTATATAGACTTTTCTGTAGAAAGAAATGGGTAATCGCCTTTTGTGTTGGAGATTGGTTTAGGAGGACATGTTAAATTTTGTGATAGTGTTCAGTTCTTTTGAACTCATTGCAGTCTTCTCTAAACACTTGGTATTAATTTTTTATATTATAAACCATGCGGATGATGAAATTATATTATTTTTAATATCTCTTCGTTCTTTTTCATTCTTTTCTGTGTAAGAAGTATCCTAAAATAAGGCTGGGGTTTATATTTATTTTTGGAAGAAATGTGATAAATCAATTATTGGTCTGTTTTTATTGTATGTTTTATCAGTTACAAATGATCTTAAATTCTTTGATAGAGCCAAATACAATTTGTTAGAAAAAAAATACTTTAACTTTACGCCTACCCAAATCTGGGCTTCAAAAATCCCAATTAGTAGAGGAAAGCAAAGAGATATAGAAATGTTTATTCTTTGTGCTACTTGAATTTCTGCAGCTCATATATATTTTCTATATGTACCTCTGTTATATAAAGCAGAGATATATAATTAAACTTCAGTGTGTTTCTAACAGTGTAGATAATCAGGTTCCTGGGCAAGGAATATCAACTGGATTTCCAGTATATCCTACTTTCAGCCCTCTACAGATGTTATGGTGGCAACAGATGTATGCACGTCAATATTATATGCAATAGTAAGTATAAGTAGAACATGATTTTAATTAGTATCAGATGGAAGATTGGTAATTAAAACAAAGACTAGATTGATTTTTTGTAGATTAGTTTTATCAAAACAATTCTGAAATAAAAATACAGATTTGTTAAAACATTTACTAGAATTACTGAGTTATAAAACTTAAAACTTTACTATTTAAGAGTAGTTTTATTTTTGTTTTGGTGGCTGATTTAGAGATATGCTTTATTATTCAGAAATATTATTACAAAGTGAAAATTTCCATCCCTTAGACCAGGTCTGTCAAACTAGTAATCCACAGATGCATCATGTGCTGGCCACGCCCACACCAGGTTTATTGAAGGGGAAAAAAGTCATTGTATGTCACGTGATAATGCTATGATGACGCAAGTTTGACATACCTGCCTTAGACTATTTTGCAAATTGTTAAGACACAATCCTATATTTCCAGGTTTTTTTTTTAATGTAAAAGTTTATCTTAGCTGCAAATTTGTGCCAGAGGGGAAATCATTTTATTGTACATGTTTGAAATTTATCATATATGATTAATCTTATTCATGATAATTCAATGAGATTGGAGAAAAAATAAGCATAATTTTTATTGGTGAAGCATATAGTACTAATTATTAATAATTCCATACTTCTAAGGAATTTTTTTCTGCAATCATTGGCTCTTCACTATACCTCTTGCCACATAAAGAACATTTTCCCTCAAATGTATTTCTAAAAGATGATGAACAAGTATAGAATAGAAATCAGACCACAGATTTTAATTTACAGGGGACAATATCTATAAAAGCAAGGTTATTTATTGAAGGCACAGAGACCCAGAAGTTTAGGTACTTTGCAAATCTTTTACAAACCCACTTGAAGGGCATTTTCATATATATATGTATAAAAGGTGGGGAAAAAAAACAATGAGGAAGGTTTAAAAAACCACTAAAGATGGTAATTTGTTCAGCAGCCATTCAAAATTACAAGGATGTTAAATAAATGGTGGCTATGACCAATCCTCAGTGTTTCATCCATCCCAGCACCCTCATGGACACATAATTGCTATCTGGAGATTTGGCAATAGGCTTGCCCTTATGACTGGTTACTGCCCCCTGCAATCATGTGATTGCTATTTGCTACCTTTTCTACCAGCTTTCCCAGAAAGTCAATGGAAAGCTGGCAGGGAAGATTGCAAGTCAATGTGTACACTCTCTCCCTCTATGCTCATGGCACACCATCTCCTCATGCACCCTCATCAAGTCTTACCATGTCTCCGTCACACTTGCAATCTCCCTCTCTCTCATTCCCTCCCTCCCCCCCCCCCTCTCCCTCTCTCTCTCTCTCTCTCAGCCTTGCTTTACACCTTCATGTTCCTTCTCTGACCATTACTATCTTTTCTTCATGAGTCATATACTCTCCCCAATTCTTGATGTCTCTCCTGATATTCACCACCATCCAAAATTATTACTGCAACTCCCTCATATCCTCATACATTCCCTTATACCCCTCTGCGCCCTCCTGAATCTCATCATACCTCACTCACATCCTTATATACCCTCCCTGATCCTGCCTACACCTCCCTCACACCCTCCCTGATCTTTGCTGCACCCTGATCCAAATATATTTTCATTACTTAATGGTGGAAATTTTGGTCTCAAATGCCACCATAAGTTGAGAATTGTACAATTGAGGACTTTTATCTGTTCATAATTTCAGTATTTCAGGCTGATTCTTATTTTTAAAGTACCTATTTCAGTTACCAGCACGAGATAATATTTTTTTCCCTTCCTTAGTTCATTCGGTGGAGAGGGGTACCCTTCTCACAGCAGCTGATTTAAATGCCATGATGAGATTCTTTTGCTGCATATTATAGGTAGCTAACTAATATGCCTTATTTTTGAGAAGCTCTTCATTATTTCTGTTATAGTCAAGCTGCAGTTTCAGCACAGGCAACCCTGAATCCTGAGTCTACCAGTTCTCCAGTTCCGGAGTCCTCAAGTTCTGATCATGTTCTTGCAAATGAAGCCCCAGCAGCTCCAAACATAGCTCCACAGGAGAACAGACCTATAAATCAAAATGTGCAGATGAATGCTCAAGGAGGCCCAGTCATAAATGAAGAGGACTTCAATAGAGATTGGCTGGACTGGATATACACATTCTCCAGAGCAGCTATTCTTCTTAGTATTGTATATTTCTATTCATCCTTCAGTCGCTTTGTTATGGTGATGGGAGCTATGTTATTAGTTTACCTGTAAGTAAATATGCTATTTTGTGAATTTAAATTTGAGAAACTGGAAAAGTTTGTATATATTTTGTTGTAAACTTCATCAGTTTGCACTCCCTAACACTTACTTTGAAAACAAATGCATGGATTAGTCTGCAGGTTTTTTTTAAAGTTTTTTATTACACAATTAAGCAACTTACTATTTTATGAAGATGGTGTAAATGCTACAGTTATTTTTTTACATAGTCTAACTATTTGGAGAACTTACCAGTATAGCACCATCACCTGCATTTAAAACACTCTTAAAATTACTTTAGGAAAATCAGTGCATCTCAATGCACCTTCTCTTCCTGAATAATTTTATATTTAAGAAGATAGCTGTCCTGTTAGCAAGAAATACATTTTTTCCTCATACAATTATCCAGAAAATATGGTATACTTTTGCTATTGTATTTGGGTCATTTCAACTTGTGATTATTCTACATAATATTGGAATATCTATCAGAAATGGATCATGAACAGAATAAAAACTATTATAACCATCATTATATAAACTAATTCTTCCAGTAATACTTACTTACTACTGGAAAGACAAACCATGAGAATGAGGGATGAATAGTTTGCCTAAATTTATCCATTGAGTTCATAACTCAATGGACCTATGTATTGGAAAATCCAAATTCAGAAGGATAGCCTTGATCTTAATCCCAAAGTTACATAATTGTCAAGCATTCAGTTACTTATATAATTTTGTTTTAAGGTTTATTTCTATTTAATATCTTAAATGCTTATTTTAAAATATATAAAATTTATCTGATGGAATATACATTTGTAGGAGCAATGGGAGAGAGTTTTGGCAACACAGGTTTTTTTCAAAGAGAGGCCTGGATTAAGAGGCTGTGCAGTCCCAAGCTGGATGGGTGGTGGTGGTGGTGGATAGCCACAGCCTAGAATCTCTGAAGATACTCCTAATAATTTGCCAGTTACAGCTTTAATTTGGCAAGACTCTGTCCTTTAGAAGTGAGCTATTAAAGGATTGAACACAATTGGATTTTATTCTATCACTGAATTCTGATGATTCAGTATATTTTTACATATTTATATGTTACTGGACAAACTCTTAACCCATTAGATTATCATTTCAGAGATATTTCCTTACCTAAACAGAGAATCAGAGTGACTACCAGTGGTCAAAAATCAGTTTCAGAGCAACATCTTCCTGTTGGCTTTCCCATTGAATTTTCTTGTGGGAAACTGGCAGTAAGTGTTGGACATCTTTCAACTTTCCTCTCCTCTCCTCTCCCTTGTCCTGCCCTCCCCTCCTCTCTCTTTCCTTCCTCCTCCCCCTCCCCTCCCCTCTTTATAGTGGTTTTATACAAATTTTATTATATTTAGATTCACTGAAATCTATTGAACTTTTTAGTTTACAGTAAAATTTAATCAATTGTTCAGTAAATATATTTTTCATTTCTGAAAGCTGATCAATAAGTAACACTCATAATATTTACAGTGAATTTTTATGTGCTCTTCTAAATTAAAACAGAACATGTTAGTGCTGTTATATGTTTGTTTTATATGTTACATGTACTAAAAATATATATAATTGAATGATTTCAACTTTACATCATGAAATTACATCCAATACATTTAATCATATTCAAAAATTTGTGTGTATCTGGCTGAGTAATTATACAAGTTGTACTCCTATGACATCCAGAAAGCACAATGATGGGGAAGAATAAGTTAGATGATATTACTTTTAACTGTTATCATTTGTTGCTTTGTATTATTTACTGACCTATATGTTTTATTTCATCTTAGTAATTTTGTCAATGTCTTTTATAAAGGCACCAAGCTGGGTGGTTCCCTTTCAGACAAGAAGGAATCCAACAGCCTATAGCAAACAATGCAGATATAAACCATGATGGTCAAAATGTAAATAATGCTGGTCTTGAAGAAATGGTAAGGAGATGAATTGAGCAACACCACTAATTTTAAATTTAAGAATTACTGTTCAACTCTAAATTTAAGAAATAAAAATAGGATTATTTCATGCATGCTTAATAGGGAATAAGTTAATTAAAATCAGAGCTGAATAAATTTATATTACATTGCAATTTCTGATTATGATTTATAAGCATAGTGTTAATTTGTTTATAATTTATCAAATTGGCAAAGATGAATACATTGTATTTTGGTATCTAGATAGGAAGAAGGACACATGTTTCCAAGAAACTGTAGTTTATGTTAGTTCTATTAATACAAATTACATTAAAATAATTAACTCACTTATTTTTATATATATATATATATATATAAAGGAACGTCTCATGGATGAAGGTATTGAAGAAGATAGTGGCGAAGACATTGATGATGTCAATGCAGAACAGCATCCTGGATTTATGGCTTCCGCATGGTCTTTCATTACCACTTTCTTTACATCCCTCATTCCTGAAGGACCTCCACAAGTTGGCAATTAAGCAAAGGAGGAACTACTAATAGAGCATGGAAGTTGATTCTGGGAGAGTGGTATTTTAAATATAATGCAATTGCTATACATATACATATATACATACATATATATACATATATACATATGTATGATATTCAGCTTTGTTCGGGTATTTTCCCACGTCATTATAC